GACCATATGTTTGCTCATCATCACTTTGTTTATCTGCTTAACACTAAGGAGCAAACAGGATTATTTAATAGAATTAATGCATTTTCACTAAATTATCAAGAGCCCCATCCTCACACCAGCACATCTGACCCAGAGGTCATGAAATTCACTACTCTGGAAGAAGCACACTTGCTCATCATAACTATACACTTAGCTTCTTTGCTTTTTTAACCAGAAGAAGAAAAGAATATTTTCAAAGAAATTTTGCTTTTTCACTTTATAATCAATAGAAGCCCCCCCCCCCCTTTCCACCAGAACCCTTAAACCTGGGGTCATAAAATTCACAATTTTGGAAGAGGCATCCTTGTGTATCATAACAATGTACTTTAGTCTGTTTAAGCAATACCCAGGGGCAGAGAAGAAGATTTTCAAAGAAATAATTCACTTTCACTATAGGATCTATATAGCCCCGCCCTAGCACCAGAACTCCTGTCCCCGGGGCCATGAATTTCACAATTTTGGAAGAGGCATCCTTGCTTATCATAACAATGTACTTAGTTTGTTTAAATAATACCCAGGTGCAGAGAAAAAGATTTTTAAAGAATTAAAACATTTTCACTTTATAATCAATAGAGCCCCGCCCTAACACCACAACCCCTGATCCAGGGGCCACGAATTTCACAATTTTGAAAGAGGCATCCTTGATTATCATAACTATGTATTTAATGTGTTTCAATAATACCCAGGAGTAGAGAAGAAGATTTTCAAAGAATTAATGCATTTTCACTACATAATCAATAGAGCCCAACCCTAACACCAGAACCCCTGACCCAGGGGCCATGAAATTCAAAATTTTGAAAGATGCACTCTTGCTCATCATAACTATGTACTTAGTTACTGAATTTAATACCCAGGAGCAGAGAAGAAGATTTTCAAAGGATTAATGCATTTTCACTATATAATCAATAGAGTCCCGCCCTAACACCAGAACCCCTGACCCAGGGGCCATGAAATTCACAATTTTGGAAGAGGCACTCTTCCTCATCCTAGCTATGTACTTAGTTAGTTTATTTAATATCCAGGAGCAGAGAAGAAGATTTTCAATGAATTAATGCATTTTCACTATATAATCAATAGAGCCCCGCCCTAACACCAGAACCCCTGCCCCAGGGGCCATGAAATTCACAATTTTGGAAGAGGCACTCTTACTCATTATAACTATATACTTAGTTAGTTTATTTAATACCCAGGAGCAGAGAAGAAGATTTTCAATGAATTAATGAATTTTCACTATATAATCAATAGAGCCCCGCCCTAACACCAGAACCCCTGCCCCTGGGGCCATGAATTTCACAATTTTGGAAGAGGTACTCTTACTCATCATTACTATATACTTAGTTAGTTTATTTAATACCCAGGAGCAGAGAAGAAGATTTCCAAAGAACTAATGCATTTTCACTATATAATCAATAGAGCCCCACCCTAACACCAGAACCCCTGCCCCTGGGGCCATGAATTTCACAATTTTGGAAGAGGCACTCTTACTCATCATAACTATATACTTAGTTAGTTTATTTAATACCCAGGAGCAGAGAAGAAGATTTTCAAAGAAATAATGCACTTTCACTATGTGATCTATATAGCCCCACCCTAGTACCAGAACCTCTGACCCTGGGGCCATGAATTTCACAATTTTGGTAGAGGACTCAATGCTTATTACAATGATGCCAACAGTTTGACTGCTTGATGTCCAGGAGTAAAGAAGAAGATTTTTAAAGATTGCATTAATTTTGGTGGTTTTAGCCCCACCCCTCAGGCCCCAGGGGGGCAGGGACCATGAAATTCATAATTTTTGTTCCCCTTCACCCATAGATGCTATATGCCAAATTTAGTTGAAATTGGTTGAGCGGTTTCAGAGAAGAAGCTAAAAATGTTCAAATGTTAACGCACATCGCACGACGCACGCCGACGGACAAAAACGGATAGCAATAGGTCACCTGAGTGACTCAGGTGACCTAAAAAAGATAACGATACGGTACCAGTCAAGCTAGTATGTAACACTATTAGAAGCGTTACATCTATTTTCGCATAGCGTTATGAAAGCGTAAAGTCTCAACAGTGGTCAACTGCATAGAAAATATAGGAGCTTTCAACAGTGGTCAACAGCACAGAATACATAAGAGCATTCTACAGTGGTCAGCTATATGCAATGAGTTGAACGCTCCCTCATTTGCGTGGAAAAATTCAACTAATGTTCAATTGACAGTCAATTCATTGTCAGCGAATAGTCAATTGAATACTCCGATCGAGTTCTCGTATTAATCTTTTTTCCTATGGGATGGGATATTTATTAAAATTTAAAACTATGACATAGAAAACTGAACAAAAATCAGTTCTTGTGAGAAAAGAGGAAAGTTAGTTAATGAAAATGCAGATCGACAACCCCGACATTTTCACATTCAAATTAATTATTAATAATGGGAAGGCATGAATAAACACTGGTCGCAAAGATAAATAGTATAAAATAAAATTTCATGTGAGAAAAAAAAGTGGTCGTGTGTTACAATTTTAAGATCATATTTCTGAATGATGACGCATGTGGTAATTATAAAGACACACACCATGTAAGCATGTTATTTCGATGTTCTTGTAGAATTAATAATTTTTATTTACGCTATTCTTTTTTTTTTAATTATTTCAACCATATTTTTCATACAATCACATATCGTATCGTCAAAAATATGTAAAACTATGGAAAAAACAATTTTTGAAAAGAATAACCATAATAAAATATAATTTACAGACACATTAACATATTCTTTCAATTTATAGAAAATATAAAACGGAATCGGTATTCCAATAGTATGAAAATCATGGTCGGAATGATGTAATATTACTTTGCCTCATTAAAACGATCTCTTTAAAAGAAAATACAGTTACAATGTCATCATCATTAACGAGATCAAAGTTTGTGCTCAGGGATGGATAGAGGAGGAAAAATTTTATTTTGATTTTATTATTTGGTCTTAGGACAATTTGATTTGTATTCAATAAGCCTTTAGGATAGATAGGTAAGGAACAAGAACATTCTATGTTTAGTACATTGTATTTATTAATACCTCTGGTTGTATCACCTGCCGTGTTACTTTTATAGATTTGTTCGGCAGGACCGAAAAAAGTTGGCGTCGGACATTGTTTTTCACTGTCTGTCTCGAAGAGTATCATAATCCCACACTTGGATGCTCCTCTGACTAAAATCCATTCCAGTAATCAAACAGGAAGGAAAGCTTAAGCTACATGTACAGTAAATGGTCATACATGGATGGAAGTCCTTAGAATAAACATTCATATAAATGATTGTAAGCCTTGCTTCATGGTGATGCTGCTTTCACTGGTAATAATTTCATGGTAAAATATATTTATTACGGAAGAGAAAGTTAATACTATGCAAATCATGTTATTGATTGTCTGATATTATCATCCTGTACTAGGCACATCTCAAATTGGGGCTTAATTACTAATATCAAGGCAATGGAGTTGTCATGTTTATAGAAAAATCAACACTGGTTTGTTTTCTTTTGAAAGAAAAAAATCTTTCTGTTAACATTCAGGGTAATTTTATCTTTTATCAGAAAAAGACGAAGTTCTTGATTATGCATATGTCTACAAAAATCTTACATACTGTTATTCTTTGTGGCTTATTTCTCTGGATACACCAACAGCTTCATGGCGTTTAATCATACATTGTATTTTTCAAACGCTTTATTTTTCATGATGATGAAAAGATATACAGCCCATATATCACTATATATTAGGTGACAAATTAAATTGTGAATAAAATGTAAAGCATCATACTGTATATGGAAATTCATGGTGTTGTTTTTATTAATAAGCGCCTTTTGACGTTTTAATGCGATTACTGGTAAAGGGCAAAGAGGGCACGGTCTTGTTTGAAATAAGACTGAGTACAATCTTAAAGTACAGGCAAATAAAAAAAAACTTTTTTCAATCTTGATGAACATTATTGGATATTTCTCTTACATGTGTGTTGCTTTTGAATATAATCAGCTTTTCTGAAAAAGAGCTTAACCGCCTTCCAGAACGTAGTTTAATATGGAATATACCACTTTTTCATTCTTTGTTTTTTTTTTTTTTTTTTTTTTTTGGTCCTTTAAAAAACTTTTTTTTACTGTCAGATAACAGGAAAGCATAGCGTCTGAAATGAAATTTCCCGACTTCATGGTTCATATCCCACAAAGTTCAGCACATATTGAAAATGCATTTTTTGTAGAAATTCCTTTTTTAAGACAACGGTACTAACTTTAACATGATTACAGTAAGCAACGGACCCTTGGACGTAATTCCGAAGTATATGTCTCTAAGTGCAGAAATTTTCGTGAACTACAGCTATTATATATGAATGTTTGATAATTTACATTTATCATAAAGTTAGAGTGGCAATGTGATGAAATACCTAATGGAGAAGGAATCGATGATCAAACTGAATAATTTAACTCGAATGACACAATAGATTAATCACTGTAATGCATTGGAAAAGGAAAAGCACGTTTCAAAAAATTTTATATAATTAATTAACATCAGCAACGGAAAAAGTGAAAAATTCAATGACGACAAGAAGGAACTTCTGTGTGCGCATAACTTCAAGAACAAGCTGGGAATTAAGTGGAAACTTATGTTAGTCTCAAGACAATGGGCATTTTTTTCTTTTGGTTTGTTTCATTTCTTAATTTTTTTTTTGAATATCATTAAATCTTAGTGCAATGCTGTTCAAATTGCTCAAAAAACTTGTATTTCTTTTATATATGTATTGAATTTAAAATAATGTTTCACCAAATATTGGCAAATATATGAGAAAAAGTAGGGGCATGATTTAAATGTACCTCTATATGTATTGCATTTGAAAATTTCAGCTAGTCCCCGTTTACCACTCTTGAATGTAACGCGCATTTTTAACATTCAAGATTAATTGTACAACTACATTAATGGAAAAAATCCCATACCTTGTCCTTGTATATATATTTCCTTATGGCGCTGAATCCAACCGCTAGTAAAGAAGCAAAAAACCCGAAGCCTAGTATTAGCCAGAAAGCCTCGGTTATCTTCAGTGAACCCTGAATTCCAGTAGATACACCATTTATCGAAGACGCATGGTCATTTATTAGAGATCCACACACCGAATTATTGAAGATGGTAAACATTTTGTTAAATATCTGAAATGTCTCTAAAATAAGTTTCGAATGCACATGTCAATAGAGCTGTGAAAACAAAATTACTGGAACAAACCTTACAACTGATCTGTCAAAATTATACGTTTATGTTTTAAAGATTAGTACGTCAAGACATCTTAAGGGTTAGCTTCACAATCCTCTAATCCGTTAAATTTTCATATTACAGACGCAAACATCGACATGTGATTCCCTCTACGTGCAGCCAAGATTTAACAGCGCTATCCTTAGGGTTGTACATATATCTTCATAGTCAAATCAATGAATGAATCTTCGATATCGTTTTGTGGCTGAAGTTCGCAGAAGGATGTTTCATTTAGCTCTTAAGATTAAACAAAAACCCCGACTTTCCTAAACTACACAGTTTTTACAATGAGACTGTTACATGGAGTTAATTTTCTATATCTTGGAGATTGTAAATTTGTAATTCGTAATTTTTTAATTTTTAAACAATTTCTATCTAAACACAGAAGTAAAACTTTCTTGTTAAAGACTAAACTGCTTAACAGATCGGATAGATTTGATGAACTCAAATTTTTTTTTAAAGAAAAGGTTTTGTGTTTGTGTGGAACACAGATGTTGCAATTAAACATTTAATAGTGTATGTATGTGATTTCGTTAAACATTAATTTTCAATTACTATAACTGTCTTATTTTCATTTCAAGTTTCTTTTCAAAAGATTCCACTAGCTTATGAGAGTTCTAGACAAGATGCCGAGAAAAATCATGTCATATTGGAATACTGGGAATTCACTTATTTTTGTGGGGGCTGAGTTTTTGTTATTTTCGTGGTATGAAAAGATCCACGAACTCATGTTCTTCATGAAATGTTACAATTTCAGATCGAAAGTACCTTTCTGAAACCACGAAATCATTTCACCTTCAACTTGCATTTTTCCTCGAACGACGAAAATCTGACCCCTGGAAAAATTAGTGATTTTACGGTACGCTTCATCAATGGGCAAACTTTTTTTACGGTGTTTTTACAGTTCCATGCATGGTTAATTAATGCATAAATATTTTCTTGTAATAAAAAGTGAACAGATTTCAGTAGACAAAGTATTTCATTTCCATGTCGAAGGCAAAGACTTAATTAAAAAAAGGAAAACATTTCCAGTAGAGGAGTCCACAGTTGCCTTTGCCACCACTTCGTGGAGAAAAGCTGAGTAAAATTTTCCCCCTTTTTTTCGATCGGTCATTTTGGCAGTTCTCTGTTTTTAAAAATTCAATAACGTAATTATCTGATTGCCCAAAAGAAGGGGTATCTCATACATTAATTTTGTATGACAAGCATCAAACTTACCTGTAGTTTCACCCTCTCAGTACACATAGGTAAGCTTTTGGTCACATGAATATAAGGTAGCGAATGTTTCAAAATGATTCATGACCTATCTCCTAAATGATTGTTAAATTATTAAGTATGTTTTAAGAAACTCAATTACAATTATTTCAGAAATTCCTTATCTCAGAACCTCTTCATGGTAAAATGTCTGATATTTTAAATGTCAATTTTATGCCCTTTTCGAAGAAGGGAGGGCAAATTGCTTTGCTGCTGTCTGTCGGTCCACCAACAGTTTTCGTTCATTTTCTTCACAGAGGTTGCACGTACTGAAATGAAATTAGGTCTACAGATTTATCATAAGAATATCTAGGTCAAGTTCTGTTTTGGGTACGATAGAGCAACTTTTGACAGAGTTATGCCCCTTGGACTTAGAAAAAGTCCAGTTATTTGCAGTTTCCGTTCATTTTCTTCACAGAGGTTGCACATACTGAAATGAAATTTGGTATAGATTTATCATTAGAATGCCTAGGCCAAGTTCTGTTTTGGATACGATAGAGCAATTTTTGACACAGTTATGCCCCTTGGACTTGGAAAAGTTCCAATTATTTGCAGTTTCCCTTCATTTTTTTTTCGCAGAGGTTGCACGTACTGAAACGAAATGTGGTCTACAGATTGATCATGAGAATATCTAGGTCAAGTTTTGTTTTGGGTACGATAGAGCAACTTTTGACACAGTTATGCTTCTAGGACTTAGAAAAATTCCATTGGGGGATGTGTTTCGCAAACATCTCTTGTTATAACTGACCGTGTTATTCTTTATCCCACTTCAGGTAAAATTGTAGAATATTGATTGGCTAAATATAGAACACATGACGACCTGAAATTTTCTAATATACCGTCTCCGAGCAGGGGGTAAATTAAAAATAGAGCGCAAGATTCTGTTCTACGTGTTTTTGAGGCAAACAAATGGCGGCAATCAAACGGTTTGTTTGTTGAAAATTGTACGTATCTTTAAATGTGATGATGTAATACTGAGAATATATGATGTTCAATGATATTTTAAATTACATTTTTAACATGTTACTGACTTTGAAATGGAAACTCGCACTGGTACTCGTCTTCGCCTCGCTGAATACGGAGTTCCATTTCATATCCTGGTTGACTCCAGGTCAACAACTAATTGTGTAATTGATGATGTCTGTAGTGTTGCAAGAATTATTATTTTATAGTTTTACAGTTTTGTTTATTTTACTACTGTGGAATCATCATTGATCGTGGGGGATCAATGTTCGTGGATTTCGTGGGTAACCCTTACCCACGAATTTACATCCCCACGAACAACTATTTTGTCAACGTACTGATTAATTAGATCTTTCAAATAAACGAGCTGCCCACGAAATTACATCCTCACGAACCAATAAAATTTTGCTTGCCCACGAACATTGACCCCCACGAATTTAAATGATTCCACAGTATATGTATTTGTGATTTTTAACTGCCGTAATAATGACTTTTGATTGAAAATTATTCTTTTAAATAATAGCCAGAGGTTCATGTACATAAGAAACAAATACGTAAGGGTTTTCGTCATTTAATCCCACGAAAGAAAGTAACCCAGTGAAGTTGTGAATTTAAGAATTCGTTATGTATTTAATTAGGACAAATACATCATTTCAATACACTTCTGTTGAATATACATTCAGAATATTTTAACGGGTGCTGACTTAATATAGAATCTGTGAACAACGTCATTATAATGACAGCTCATTCAAAATATTCCAATATCACAGTCCCTGGTAAATGCATGCATACGTAATAGTTAAACCTGTGAATGACTTTGCCATGCTTCTTTTGTAAAAATGCAGAAATGTCTCACGTAAAAGTAGGTTAAGTTCATCGTATTCTGTATTATTATAACAAGTTCTTGCTGTGAAGAAAAAAACCCTTTGCTTATCAGATTTCCGTCTACATCTAATATCAATGAATAATGATGCAATACCTTGGTGTGAGGACAACATGATTAGGCATATCCATGACTTTCTGTAATAGTAGGATTATATTAGGAGAAATCTGAAATCCACTTCGCCCATTCTTTAAGACGAAGATTTCTCTTAAAGCTAACACGACTCGTAAATAGTAATATGCCATATTGGTTTTCCTATCTTAAACATCAGCACTAGGGTACATATTCCCTTTGCATTCGTTACACCTGATTGCACACCTGGAATTCATGTAATATTTCTTATTTGTGTCAGTGTTTATATTTCATTATTTTATGTGCATTATTATTATTACATGTATGTGTTTATATTTTATTATTTTATGTGCATCATTATTTTGTGTTTGTAATGCATTGACTTGTGCGATATATGTTACTTTTTTCCTGACGTGGTTGCATACATTTGATAATTTATGCGACCGAGTAATAATGGCAGTGTAAGACATGTCAATACACGTAGGATCTCTACAGCGAAGTACTTCGAACTGTGAAGAAATAAAAAGCTTATACAGGGGCTCAAGAAATATAAGAGAACGAAGAGAAATATGGCGGACAGGGACAAATCTATTCCTTTTACGATGAAATATGGAGATAACGAACAGTATTGAAGCTCAAAGTCCATTTAAACAATATAAATCAGGAGCAAAGCAAACACGGACCTGCAAAACATTAGAGATAGGATCATGTGCCATGGAAGAGTGAACATCCCCTGCTTACCGGTCACACCGGTCGTGTTCAGCTTTAATCAGTCTCATATGGAACCCCAACCCATTCAGGTTGGCACGGATTTAAAGGATATTGATTCTGATTCACTAGGAGACTGCGATGGTGAAGATGTTAAAACTACAGAGTTAAATGCTCGAAATCTTAATAATGCGACACATGACTACACCACCCTATATAATTGGTTAAAATGACATGGCTGTAGCCAGCAGAAATGAACATCCTTCTAACGCTATACAAAAATACTAAGGGGACCCATTTCTTTAGAAAAAAAGCATTATTCTCGTCATCTGCTCCAAAAACTGATGGAAACATCCATTACTTGTATACAACTTGTCGTAGACAGCAAATTTTAATCTGGAATACGCTGTTAATATACATTTTGACACGTAGAACATGGTTGTATTCACTAACAAATTGTATATGGTATTGCCATATATTTTCCTCAACCTCATCTGTCTGTATGTAATGGAATATATGCTGAATACAGTTGTATATGTAAAATTATCAAAGTGTCTGAGACCCGTAGGGCATACTTATTATATATATGAACTATATCTTACTTACATGTAAAACATTGTCATGTAATGTCCAAACGTTACCCAGAGGAGTCTGGTAATAACACAATAAAAATTCAAGCAACAATAGTTTTTCCACTTGAAACCATCGGATAAGTAGACAAAAGTCAGAGAAAAGTTTTTTTTAGATAATAAAAACTGATATCTTCTGTTTCATTTCATTAATTAAGTGACAGTCATTTATATCAGATCAGGAATAATGGACAGTGGTCAGTTGTACAAGAAATCTTTTTGATTCGGAACATTTTTGAATAAAGTGCATACGATATTGATAGAGACACTGTTGAACCATATTGTTAACCTGAGAAATGAACAGGTTTTTGAGTGACAATAATTTTCTTTGATAGTGCTATATCTAAAAAAAAAAATAGACTATGACTGCAGGGCATTT